AATATTAGTTTGTGGTTTCTTCAGGGGTATTTTGGATCCTCTTCAATTTCTGTAGGCTATTTGCCCCAGAAGCTTCTGGGAAGGGAGCACTAACCTTGTAAATTTCACAAAAATTCACTTTGGGTTCCACGGAGACCTCTGTTTTCTTTTGTCTGATTTTGTTTTTCAACAGATGTCAAGTCAGTGCATATCTCTTCAGTCACTCTACTCTCAAAGAATTTCTGTTCCTCACTCCACTGTATTACTTTAGTTTCTAGTCAGTTGAAGGTCATTCAGATAGTAAAAAAAAAAAAAAAGTGTCTTTACGTAGAACGTAGACATTCTACAAGATTTCCATGCCAGTGGTCAGTATAGGCTATTTGAAGTAATTGATCAAGTCCAAAGCTCAGTTCTTTAAAAAAAATTTTTTAACTGGGGACTGATGGATGTGGGGGGGAGGAGGGATGGGCATGGAGGAGGGCACTTGTGGGGATGAGCACTGAGTGTTATGTGGAAACTAATTTGACAATAAACTATTTGTAAAAAAAAGAAAAAATAATAAAAAATAAAAGTAAAAAAAATTTTTTTAATGTTGATATATTTTTGAGGGGGGGTGCAGAGCATGAGTGAGGGAGGGGCAGAGAGAAGAGGACACAGAATCTGAAGCAGGCTCCAGGATCTGAGCTGTCAGCACAGAGCCAGATGTAGGGCTCAAACTCACGAACCATGAGATCATGACCTGAGCCAAAGTCGGCACTTAACCGACTGAGCTACCCAGGTGCCCTGTCCATAACTCAGTTCTAAGCCATTTCCTGCTAATAGCATATACTAAGGAGATATAAATTAAATAATTCAAAGATCAACTACATCTTATAAACATCAGAATTTTTATACTTATAATAAGGAAAGGGAAGAGGTCAGTGAGGAAGGAAACATGGGGATCATGAGGATCATGCCCATATTATCTTTTTCTTTTCATTTTGAGGATTGCTTCCCTAAAGCTGGACATAGGGAGTGTCAAGGAGGCACTGTCCTGGGAGAAGTTGAGACATCTAAACTAGTACTGAGTTTTATGTGAGCAGTGACAATGACCATTGACTTTGACCATCAACAGCTCCACTCAGGTCTCTAAGGGAAGCTGCAAAGTTCACAAAGAAAATGTTTAAAAAGAAAATTATTCTCTCATCCCTTCTTCCCTCCCTTCCTTTCTTCCTTCCTTCCTTCCTCCCTTCCTTCTTTCCTTCCATCTATCCCTCCATCTTTCTTTCTTTTTTTTTTTTTTTGTCTTATAGTACTGTTTTACATTCATCTGCTTTTCACGTGACTCTCTCCAGATGTACAGAGTCTTCCACCTCATCTGGATCAATGTTCCCTTCTCCTGGCCTTGTTAACACTTCCTTTCCCTGTGCTGTCTTGGTTCAATGTATTGTAGAGCTTATATAGGGGAGATATTTGTGAGCTAAGCTCTCACCCATCAAAGCTAGTGCTTTTCTCTCCCCACCCCCATTCTATTCTACTTAATTTGCTAGGGAGTGAAATAACATGAACGGGCAATGAAGCACTCCCCAAACCATGGAAGTGTTTATACCATGGAAAATGCATTTCAGTTGGCACAGTAAATCTCAAGATGGAAATTATTGAATAATAAGGGTTCTCCTATGACCAAGAATGTAAAACCTGCTAGAAAAAATAATATGCTCATCAAAGGTAACTTATTACAATGTATTCTTACCTGCACTACTACATCCTTTGCCATGACTCATTGGGTGTAGACTACAGTTTTTCTTCAGTTATCTCCTGTAGAGATAACAATCAACATTTGGTTTAAAAGATAGTTTTACAAATGTTTGCCTCAAAAATTGCTCAATGTTTAAGGAGCTCTTTCTGGATGTTGTTGCTAGCCTTTTCTAGCTGAGTAATCTTTTTTTATTACTAACTCGTATCAGTAAATTTGTTCACAAAAGTAGAAACATTGCCCATCTGTAGTAAACATCTCTGAGAGCTGTAACCCTCACTAGAGCAGTACGCTTTTATAGAGAATATTCTATTTTCAGGGTTGCTGACCTTTCCCCTCTTTATTGGTTGCCATAGTGATGATCTGAGCTCTGCTTAATAGAGCTTTACTAAAATGAATAAAATCAATAAGCTTTTTAACTCTAATGCTTATATTGATAGTTCCTGATAACATATATCAGAATAAGACATAGCCTTATAAACATATCTAACAATAGAATTTTTTTTGAATTTTATTTTTAAAATTTTATTTTTATTTTAAAAGCATATTCAAGTAGATGCTTTTGTAGGTTGCAAGAGATTGAATGCTTTCTGTGGCTTTCTTTGAATTCCTAGAATAGCATTGTAAGGACCTAAAAATATAGATACAACTTGAAATGTAGATTGAAAGACCATAGTTAAATGGATAATAAAACTCTTTTACAACAGCAAGCTTTAGAAGTTGCAAGTACAACGGTTAATGATTTCTAAAACAAAGTCAAGTCAGAGAACTCTTTTAGCACCTTGTCATAAGAACATTCAAGGTCAACCTTTCCTCATATGCACCTGTACAACTTCTAATGACTTCAGAAGGATCCCGAAATGTTTAGAAGAAGGAAAGTTGGTGATCTGCCAGAATCCCCGGGGCAAAGTAGAAGATCATGGATTAAGCTTGTTTCCAGAGTTCACTCAACAGTTTTAAATCTATTACTTATCAATAGTAAAAAAAATATATATTTTTAGGATTATAATGAAACTTGGATGAACACATTTTGGAGGAATTTAATTCATTTTCCTTGAGAATTAAATAATATTTATTTTAAATTTGTATTTATATATTCTGTTTGACATATGTAAGCATATTTAATATAATAAGCTCTCTAGGATTGTCACTGCAATAAAAGAATTCTGAGTAATGGCTTAATTTACAAGGTCCATTATCACCGTCATTTGTTTAGAGTCTAAGGTACAGGTGCTGTGTGTTGCTTTCTATGCATTCTCTCCAGCCTCTCTCTGGGTATTCCTGGTCAGCAGGGGCAGTTTGCCCAAGGCACTAAAGCCACAAATGGAGAAAGTGGCAACTCACTTTGGTTTCTCTTTCTCCAAAGCCTGCATTCTTCTACTTCTCCTTGATGTTTGAGAACCTAAGCCTCTAGAATTCTGTTCCCGTATTCTATCAAATACATCCCAAGGCTCATTAAAAACAAAAATCAACATCCCTAATGATAGGACCTAGCGATAAAATTAAATTGATGCTGAAGCTGTCTTTAATGAACGAAAAGAAAATGAACTAGGTGCTCATTTCAAATGTCAAAATAATTTCTTTTAAAAATACAGAAATATCTGTCATCATAGACTTTTCATGTATCACTGTTTTCTCTAAATTAAAAAGATTTCTTAAGTGCAAGATGAACTTTAGAAAAATTGGCTGTCTGTGTTTTAACTGGAGGGTCACAAATTTAATTATATTCTTGTTACTTGGTTTCAATGATCATGTTTATTTTTCTAAAACTAAAAACCTTATCCTTTCTTATTAAGAACAAACTAGGGACACCTGGGTGGTGTTGAGCATCTCTGAGAGCTGTTGAGCATCCAACTTTGGCTCAGGCTGTGATCTTATGGTTCATGGGTTTGAGTCCTGCATAGGGCTCTGTGGGGACAGATCAGAGCCTGGAGCCTGCTTCAGATTCTGTGTCTTCCTCTGTCTCTCTGCTTCTCCCCCACTCATGCTCTCTCTCACTTTCAAAAGTAAACAAACATTAAAAAATTAAAAAAAAAAAACTAGGAGAACTTTTAGCAGTTCCACCATTCAAGATCTATTCATCATCTCCAGTTGTAAGCACTGGGGATATAGTTGAGAACAAAGCAGGCAAAATTCTTTCCCTAACTAAGCATGCATTCTTTGGAGGGAATTGAATAATAAATAAAAAACATATATGGTGTGCCAGGGTCTGGGTGGCTCAGTCAGTTAAGCATGTATGATGTGCCAGGTGGTGATACAACCCAGGAATTAAAACAAAACAATGAAAGGGTAGAGGATGAACCAGGACCCAGAAGGAAGTACTACTATTTCAGCTAAGTTTCAGCCAAGACCATCGCACCTGGATGACCGCACGGTGCCCCTCATCTCTCCCCTTGCTTTCTACTCCTGCGCCCCTCTGATGATATGCAGAATGAACTTGAGGTCACATAGTTCGCCTCCTCCAAGTCCTGCTACAGCTCCTACCTGGAATAGAATTCACAGCTCTTCACTTAGCCTACCAGACCCCACATGCTCTTTCTCTTGGTTGCCTCGCTCTCGTCTGCCTTTCTCCCCGCTCGCTGCTGTCCAGGCACCGGGTGTGCCTGAGAAGCCTGAATGGGCTTCATCTTGGGGTCTCTACACTTGCTTTCACATTGCCTGGAGTGAGCCGCATAAGACCCTCTGGTGGTTGCCCCCTGGTACCTCCCAGAGTGGCCTCCAGGAGCATTAGTTGAAAGGGGCATCCCTGCATCACACTCTTGCCCCTCTGCTTCATCACAGCGCCTACAGCCTCTTGCTTGTGTGTAGCACATCCGTTTAGTGGGCGTATGGGAACACAAGCAGCATGAGAGCACGGACGTGGCTCTCATGCACCACTGTATCCCCAGCACCTGGAATAGTGGCAACGTATTGCAAGAGCTCGGTAATTATTTGGGGGTGTGAAAGAATGAATGTGCTCTAAGGATGGACTGCTGAGACAAGGGGAGAAGATAGTAGAAAAGTGGCAAATGCCTTGGAGGATTTAAAAAGGACCCCACATGCTGGTGTTTTCCACGATCCTAATTCTGTCTCCCGTTGGCAGCTGGCATGAGTATTCCTGCTGCTTCCTGACCTCAACTCCTTTTCCCATCTCTGCCTGGCCCCCAGAGAGTCTTTACCAGCTAACATGCAGCCATACTGTGTAGCTCCACATCAAAGATGTGACATTTTGGTGAGCCCATTTGCAGTTTCTGACGTTTCTTAAATGGGTTGATTTATGGTTGTGTTCTTTCCTTTTTAACCAAAGCATCTCCAGATATCCCAAAACTCGGACCCATGGAGCTGACCGTTGTTATTGCTGTGCCAGTCTGCCTTCTGTCCATGGCAGCGGTGCTGACGATATGGGCATGCCAAGGTCGCCAGTGCACAGACAGGAAGAAAAGGAGACAGAATGTGGAGGAACCCCTCTCTGAGTGCAATCTGGTAAATGCTGGAAAAACCCTAAAAGATCTGATTTACGATGTGACTGCCTCTGGCTCTGGCTCTGGTATGTGCCCCCTGTCCATTTTACAGTAAGAAAACTTGCATTTGAAAGTAAATAAGAACAATCTCTAACTTCTAAAAAGGGCCCCAATACTATGAATTGCATCATTTAGAATGCTCAGTGTGGTACTTGGTAAGGTCTGATATAGAAACCTGTGTTAGGATTTGATGAAGAGAAAAAAACATCATGGCCAAAAGAGTTAAGTCTTCTCAGTTGCCTTTTCTGCCTTTAGGGATTCCAAGTCCCACTTTTACATTCCTTCAGAACTTATTTTTGAATCAAGAAAGAGTTTCTCTTCCCCTCTCTGCCCTCATTATGGTTGATACTAATCACTGTTGCTCTCTTAGTAATGTTTTGTGGGCACAAAAGTTACTGTATTTAAGGAATTGAATTCTGGGGGGAAAGATGTTAGTTGTGCAAAAGGGTATTTTTTTTTTTTTTACAAATAGTTTATTGTCAAATTAGTTTCCACATAACATTCAGTGCTCATCCCCAAAGTGCCCTCCTCCATGCCCATCCCCTCTCCCTCCCACATCCATCAGTCCTCAGTTTTTGTCAGCATTCAAGAGTCTCTCATGGTTTGCCTCTCTCCCTTTCCCCCACCATTTCCCCCCTTCTTCTCCCCCTTGTTCCTCCGTCAAGTTCCTCCTAATCCTCCTATACGTGCAAACATATAATATTTGTGCAAAAGGGTATTCTTAGAGTGCCTTTGCTCATGGTTATGAAAGTCTTCGGAATCTGCAGCCTCCCCTGGGATGTGTGTGTGTGAAGTGAACAGGGAGCTGACCGGAAGTCAAAATCAAGAATCTTCCAAGAGCATAGAAACAGAGATGACAGGGAATAGCACAGCACACTCCTCTGCCGGCTGTTGCCGAGGTGAGATGATGCCTCTATTCCTCCTGAATGGAACTCCACAACTCCTGGTGAAGCAGTTCAAAATATGAGGCTGTTTTATGGCCTATATGAGCCTTTCTCATAGCACACACCGTGTGAAGGCATTTTGAGTTTCTGGTGACAGAGCAGATTCCTCTGTAATAACAAACTCTCTGATACGGCCTTTCCTTGTGTATACATCCAGAAACCCTGCGGGCATGTGGTCTTGCATATATGTGAGCTAGGGTGAGCCGAGGTGGGTCACTTCTGAAGGCCCTGGACCCCCTCTTACTCTGGAAGAATCATTAAAGAGGACTACCCCAAGCAGACTTTGAGAAACTCCCCAGCCCATGGTCTCTAGGAGCATCCAGCCAGGCATGATGAACAAGAGCAGATGACACAGTGGCGGTAGCCTCTATGTGAGCATGCATATTTAACATGAAGCAGCTTTAGACTCACCAGAGTCCAGAAAAGAGAGCCCTAATTATGTCATCTAGAGAGCCCAGATAGTCTGTTGCTTCTGACGGCCAGATCGCTTGCTCTTTCGCTGAACAAGGTCTCAATATTTATGCCATCACTGTACAAATTAAGTGGCATGTTTGCAAAGGAGGATTATTGGAAAAAATGTCTCCGAACTGCAAAGTTTGTAAAACTAAAGTCCAAATTAAGCTACTGTGTAGAAAGCTATGACATTCTTCCTTTAAAAGTAAAGCTGTTCAGGGGCATCTGAGTGGCTCAGTTGGTTGAATGTCCGACTTCAGCTCAGGTCATGATCTCACGGTTCATGGGTTTGAGCCCTGTGTCAGGCTCTGTGCTGACAGCCAGCTCAGAGCCTGGAGCCTGCTTCAGATTCCGTGTCTCCCTCTTTCTCTGCTCCTCTCCTGCTCGTGCTCTGTCTCTCTGTCAGAAATAACTAAATATATATATAAAAAAAAGTAAAGCTGTTGAGAGTCTGTACTCGTTCTTCCCTGACCGTTAAATCCTGGGGCCTACTGTTCCCTAATTTCCTGAGCACCGGTGACATTCTAGGCACAGAATATGAGCACAGAGAACTCTGATTTGTGCCCAGTTCCTTGATACCTTATATAATTTCTTTATAAGGTTCAAGTTATTAAATAACCCTCTATTTAATACCCCCCCAAAATTTCAGTTTAGTTGGATATGTTAAGTGGAAATGTATATTTAAGAGTTACTCCTTGAATGTATTTAAGATGACTAAGAACTTCCCTTTCGAACCAAAGTAATAGAGATGTTATAACTGGAGACTGGATACTTTGCTTAAGAAAGTAAGCATGAATCAGGGCATGAAATGAAAAATTAGTATTAAGATTTGTGGTGCTTTTATGCATCCTTAACGCTAAAGCTGGATTTGTTAACTGTTAGACTCTTGTCTTCAGATTATTCTAAGATCTTTCTTTTCCTTTTTTTTTTTAAGTTTGTTCATTTTAGAGAGAGTGAGAGAGAGCAGGGGAGGGGCAGAGAGAAAAGGAGAGGGAGAATCCCAAGTAGGCTCCCCACTGCCAGTGCAGAGCCTGACGTGGTACTCAAACTCACAAACTGCGAGATCATGACCTGAGGTAAAATCAAGAGACGCTTAACCGACTGAGTCCTCAGGTGTTCCAAGATGTTCTAAGATCTTTCTTAAAAAGAAAGCTGTAAATATACACAAGCACAGGCAATTTTTTAAATGACCAGTTTGAAAGAGTTTTTGGGACTTTTTCTCTAAGTCAGCTGCATAGGTTTGGCAGTGAGCACTGGCTAACAGTAACTGATGGCAGCACTGCCTTTGGTCATCAGAGAGAACAGGTCTGGCTGCAGAAATGCTTCCTACCATCATGAAAGCTCCTTCTCAGGGAGGAAGTCAGGCAGCGCTGCTTGCCCTTTGCCTTTCTTCATTTTGGCCAGCAAACTTCAAAGGCAGTATTGTTAGGTGTGGAGAAACCAAAATTGTGCAGCTTCTCCCTGTCCGGATCAGGGACACATTTCAAAGAGATAGAATACCTGACTAAGAGGCAAGTGGACCGATGTTCTGCTGGACTGTTTCTGAGAATGGATTGTGTCTCAGGTGGCTTCTAAGAGTCTGGGCATGTTACTGCTTTCCTCTCCCCAAACAATACTTCTGATGAGTCGTGACATCACTGAAAGATGCCTTTCCTTCAGACAGGCAGCAGCTTCTACAACCTCTGGTTAAAAAAAAGAAGAAAAAAAAAAACAACGAACCTATATGGAGAAGCAAAGTCCATGTTTCTTCAAGAAATGAAATTTCTCAGGGTATAAGCAAGAACTAGATTATTTGAAGTGGTTGCCTTGAAAGATACCGAAGCAGCTTTCACTGAGTTTTCGTGTCTCCATTTAATTGTCGTGCTGAGTACATTAGATGATGTTGTCTTGCTTTGCCCATGGTCCGTGGCATTGGTCATGCACTTGATCAATTTGCAGTTTGAAAACACAGGCATGTCTAGCTCTCTAGTCAGCGGAGGCAGAGGTTGTTGATGTGATGTTTTTTTGTGAGTGTGTGTGTGTGCAAGACAGGAGAAGGAGGAGAGAAGGTGAGAGTTTGGCCCACTGACTGTCAGTTCAACTTTTATTGTGTGGTTAAGTAGTAAAATTGACTGTAGTCTACAAAAACAGCCTTTACAGTTTGCTGCTGGAGATCTTCCCAGCAGGAGAGAATTGGGGGCATAGCCACTGAATGGTAAGAGCAAGAGTTTGCACTGAAGACTATTTTTTAGTTGTAGCTCTTCCTCCCTAGTTCTGGGCAAGTCTTCGATTATTGTGGGGCCCCAATTTTCTCATCTTTAAAATGATGAACTTGGACTAGATGATCTCAAAACTTTTTGACTGTGGGGCTCTGTGACTAATTGTTGAGACCCATAATAGCAACCTTATAGTCTGTGCTTATTTAGCCACAGTGGGTGGTTCTCACGAAGATGAGAACATGTGAATACACCGTGGCTCATTTCAGGAGCAGAGGCCAAAGCCTGCAGCGCTCAGAGGGCTGCTGCAGTGAGAGTTTCCAAGCCATCCCACTACAGGGATAATAACGAAACATGACTTTCCAGAGCACACTTATACTGTAACCTCTTTCACTATTTCCCTCTAATTATAATAGTAATAAGTACCCATTGTGGACATTAAGGAAATGTATATTAGATGGAAGACTGTCACAATTCACCCTGATTCCACTAAGTGGAAATAACTGTCATAGCATTTAATAAATTTTCTTTTCAGTCTTTTTCTGGTACATTTTTTGGATAGCTAGTTACAGTTATTTAGTTGGATAGAATTTACGGCGCTATTCATTTAACATTAGAGCGAATATGTTTTCCCATGTCATTAAGAAATACCTCGTAAGCAGCATCATTATCATTTGCTCTAAGTAATCTGCTCTAAGATAGAATATTAAGGACTAGCCATTATTGATCATGTAATATACCAGATACTCTGTCGGGTGCCTAATGTGCTTATTCATTCTTGGATTACCCCTATGGGGTAGGTACTACTAAAAGCCCCTGCATTTTAGATAAGGAAGCTGAAGCTCAGAGAAGTTCAATTACTTGCTGGTGGTTGCATAACACAGCTGAAATTTGAGCGCAGGTCTTTCTTATCTGTTCTCTTCATCTCTGCACTGTGTTTAACGATTTTTCTATTATCTGATCTTTTCCCTCCTATTTCCTATAAATAATAATAACATATTAAGTATTTTAACATAAATGTTTCTGCATTTTATGGTTAAATCTTCAGGAAGGAATTCTAGATGTGGGGTTGTCAGTTCAAAGAATCTAACCTTTTTTTTACATACACTCAGAACATATTTTCCTTGAACTTTGTTTCATTTCACAGAATATCAGTGTGGTATCCTCTATGACTGTGCCTTCACTTTTAGTGTAACGTGATTATCTCCCTTGATTTTTGAATCTGATTCTTCACTTTGCAGTTTTAATTTGTTTTTTTTTTTTTTAAATTCACAAAGAGCTCTCCTGCTTATCCAGTTGTACTACAAAGAAGACATTTTATTTTAGAGGCTAAAATATTTTTTTAACCTTTATGTATTTAGTAACTTGCCTGGCTTTAATGGGCAAACTGGGGAGATTTGGAGAAATTCTAGAAAATCAGATATCTGTAGCAGCAGGCTATGTTCAAGAAATTGTCATTTGTGAATATGAGAAGATAAATTCACAGTAAGAATTTAGAGTATTCTCTTGAGCATACTTGGTCTGACAATAAGGTTTGGTATAATGGTGCTTATTTCTTCAAAATCGGTAAACTTATTAAAGCGCTTAAATGTTTGCCTTTTTATGTGAAAATAATGGCCATCATGATCGTTCTTTTCTGGCACTCCTTTATTATCAATCATCAATTCATCTTTTCTTTGGTTAGGTCTGCCTCTGTTGGTTCAAAGAACAATCGCAAGGACGATCGTACTTCAGGAGATAGTGGGAAAAGGTAGATTCGGTGAAGTCTGGCATGGAAGATGGTGTGGGGAAGATGTGGCTGTAAAAATATTCTCCTCCAGAGATGAAAGATCTTGGTTTCGTGAGGCAGAAATTTACCAAACGGTTATGCTGAGACATGAGAACATACTTGGTTTCATTGCTGCTGACAACAAAGGTATTTTTCATCTAATTGGGTTCAGCAAGTAAAAGTGTTATGTCTCTCATCAGATCAAAATAAATAATGTCTTTGCTTTAATAAAATCTAATTTCTTTATTGAGTATAGGAAATGCTTTTCCCCTTCTCCACAGATAAACATCCAGAACCATACAATAAAGACAGGGCAAATGAGTGATATGAAATCATGATGACACCACAGCTAGGTTGATATTTAAAGTATTTGGTGACTGGTATGGCACAAGAATCTATCGATCAGAACAGAAGCTTCAGCTGGAACAGAGTCCTGAGGCAACCCTGCAATGCTAGCATTTATACCTCATTTGCTGGTTCATAGAGAGATCTGGAGGCATCTTGTCAGGGGGTGGGGTGGGAGGTGGGGGAGGTTGCTTTGGGTGTCTAGGGCAAAGGAATGGGATTGGAATTTTCAATAGCAGCTGTTAGCTGATGAGGACAGAAATATTTCAATATTTTAATAACTGGTACAGACATACCAGTGAAAGCTAGCTGAATATCCACCTTTCTCATCTGTATGAACACGCTTCGTTCAACTCCAGGACTCCAATTTTCTATGAACGTTATCAGAATGGCAGCCAGCAAGTCAATTCTAGTAAAATGTTCTATTAGTGTACTTTGAGTATGATTTATATCTTGAGGTTTAACATCAACAACCCCAAACAGTAGCACTTTTTGAGTTTTGTGGAGCAAGACAGAGCATTAGTGTCCTGGTCTTTAAACCAGTATTTGTAAAATATGACATAAATCCCCAAGTAATCAGGCACTGGACATAAAGTTTGTGGATTACCTATGCTTTCTTCTTTTTGCATAGATTTTATGCATTTAACTGTGCATTTTTTTCTCTTAATAAAGGGAAACAGGGCACAAAGGGAAGCAAAAGTTGATCTAGTCAATTTTTTGACTTGAAGCAGTAATATGAAGAACTTTGGTGAGGTAGAGATTGTAACCTCTATCTAAAATACAAATGATCTGTGGACATCAGGGACTCACCATTACTTACGGAAATTAAAATCTATGGTTATTTTTATCTGTTATAAGCTTGATTATTATTAATTAGATGACGTAAGAGAGGCCTAAAATTATTGTACATTTGGGCCACAACTGTGTTTGCTGATGGTTTGTGTTTTCTGATGTGGTGTGTATAAACTGAGTAAAGCCAAGATGAACTTTAAAAAGAAAAACAATCTTTCCCAATTATCGACTACGTATACTTTGAAAATATATCCAAACTATTGAAAGTGAGACTTTTCTTAGTAAGCTAAGACCTTTTCCTTTTTCTTCCTAAGATTGAGCTCAAGCACACCTACTGATGAGATTAATTAGTGTTGTTGTCAAAGCAGTAATGACTTTGGTTATATGGATCATCTTGATGGATCTGATTTAATCATCATGTTTATTTGATTATAAAACAATAGGCCCAAGAGACATCACCCTGGATTGTCTCCTTCTTTAGTTTAACTGGTCTACCTCTGTCACTGGCTTACTAATTAGTGGTTTTGTGCATGCTTTCAAATGATCTCTCAGATTGCTTTCATCCTCATTTCTAAATCTTCTGTGGTAACCAGTTCCATTGCTTAGTCAACTCTCTGACCAGGACGTTGATGTGAGAGGACAAAGGTAGCCATTGGCGTTGAGCAGAGAAAGGGGTAGGAGTAGGGATTAGTTTTATTATGGTCAGTTTATTACTGAACTTCATTACACTATGTTGATTTTTGTATTCCTAAGAAATTTTATTGCTACCCGGATTTGGAAATTAAATATTTGGATTAAGAGTTAGCTTTTGTACATAAAGCATTTAAAAGAAAAAGTCCATAGCAAATGTTTATTATCACTTCCTTTCTCTGAACATCAGAACTGCTCAGGGCTTCCCAGGGCTGTGGTAGACCCCATTCCAAAAACTGAAACTAACTCTAGGGACTCTAATACCTAGAGACGTCTTAGGCTAATTTCTGTTCTGCTAAAAATATTTCATAAGCTGGATTACCTTTTGGTTTGATGAAGTAAATTATTTGGAAATGTCTAGAAACTGGTTCTTAATGTAAGCTTCTGGAGAAAATCATCAACTTCATATTTTGAAAAGTGAACAACGGGAACATTCTTAGAATTTTAGGGCTTTTATTATAGTCATAATACTTTGTGTACATTTGTTGCATTTCTGGTTTTTATTGGAATAATCTTTCGTAAAAGCTCAGAGTGATTTATAGCACAATACTGAGCCTAAGAGCATCTGTCAGTAGTTTTCCCTATAATGTGGCATTATCAGTATATAGAGAGAATAAGAAAGGACTTGTTCACTTATCAGAATTACTCTCAGCTTCCTATAGCTACCGTATGTACAACAGGTTCTATATCAACATCTTCAAGGATCCAGGGAGAAATTTTACTGTACTAACTTGGACTGTCAGCATCATCACTAAAGTAATTAACTTTCCTTTGTTAGCAATACAAATTCACTTTCAATGCTGACATTTGCTAAAAGTTTTTGGTTTCTTCCTTAGCATAATGAAATGATTTTTAATGCAACAAAATGATTTTTTTTCATTTAGATAATGGAACTTGGACTCAACTTTGGCTTGTCTCCGAATACCACGAACTGGGCTCCTTATATGACTATTTGAATAGAAACATAGTGACAGTGGCTGGCATGATCAAATTGGCACTTTCCATAGCTAGTGGTCTGGCCCACTTACATATGGAGATTGTTGGTACGCAAGGTATGTGTTTTCTTCCTAAGTTTTTTCTGCTTGAATATGAGGATAGAAACACCAAATTACATTTTAGTGCTTCCTTGTATTTTAGTTTATTATAATTATCAAATGTAAGGAAACACTAAGGTGCTTTATAAAGCTGAGGGTATTATTGTGATATAGCCAACTCTCATCTGCATAGTCACCATTTTGTGTATTAGCCACAGTAATGTCTTTACACTGGTGGCTCCAACTTTGCCACTTAGCACATACACCTGGGAGATCTTACTTGGGTGGAAAACGCTCTATATTCAGAGAATATTGATAACTTAAATATTTACCTATGATAACCAAAATAATAGGAGATGGTAATGTGATCTTGAACAAATATTTACATGTCATGTACTCAAAGGCCAAGTAATACACACTGTCCTTACTGTTTATTGACTTAATAGAGAATTGGCTCTAGAAAGTCATTAGTCTAGTCGGGGCAGTAGTTCTCAAATTTAGATTCATGGGCCCTTTAAGCTCTTCAAAACTACTGAGGAGCCCAAAAGTGTTTGTGTAGTTGGGTTCTACATGTTAATATTTATTATATTAGGAGCTAAAATTGAGAAATGTAAAAAAATAGTAATTTACTTAATAATAACCGATTAAATGTGAAATAAATTTCAGAAATGTACATGTTTTAAAAATTTTTGCATCCTTTTTTTTTGTAATACAAAAACCAATGTAGTGAAAATTCTGGTTTTGTTTTACATTTTTTTCAAATCTCTTTAATGTCTGACTTAATGTCTGGATTTTCATGCATGTTCTTCATTCAGTTGCTTCCAATATGTTGTTTTGGTCGAAGTCTGTGAATAAAAGGTAATATCACGCAGATATATATTTGGAAAAGAGTTTCAAAGACTCCCAGAGATCTTTGAGTCACATTTGAGAACTGCTGGCCTAAGGTAGTAGAAGTTTGAAACGTGTTTGTAAGAGAATATTTGCTATGTTCTTACGTGGTTGTAGCAATGCTAATTCTTTCCCTGTTCATTCAAAAAAAATTTATTAGTGGCCACTAAATGCCAACAAGTGTTCTGAGCATTAGAGGCCTGCTGATAAGCAAGACACACACCATTAGGCATTTACGGTCTAGTTGGGAAAGATGGATAATTAGACACACATATGAATGAACACTATAGCTAATAATAAGGGTTCTGAAGAAGGCAAAATAGGGTACTCTGTGGGGAATGACTGGGAATGTGAAATGTGTGGTCAGGGAAGACCTTTCTGAGGAGGTGACATTTGAGCCAGGTCTTCAACATCATTCCTTTCGGTGAGAGTCAGTCTTTAGTAACAACAACAAAATGCGTATGCTTTTCTTATGCTTCATAGGTAAACCTGCAATTGCTCATCGAGATATAAAATCGAAGAATATCTTAGTGAAAAAGTGTGAAACGTGTGCCATAGCAGACTTAGGGTTGGCTGTGAAGCATGATTCGGTACTGAACACTATTGACATACCTCAGAATCCTAAAGTGGGAACCAAAAGGTAAGATAACAACTTTGGTGGCACACTAAGACATGTGACTGCCTCCTAAACATGAAATCATGGGATGTGTGTGTGGTTTGGTTTTTTTGGTGGTGGTGGTGGGGTGTGTGGTCTGAATGGAAGATCATTAGGCCCAAGAAAGCAAGAAGCGCTTCTGTGGGTCACTGAGAAGTCAGTGGCACGATGCTTATAAAGCAAGGAACAGTTGGAATTTTAGTTGTATAGACAGTAGTCCTTTGGGTCAAGAATCCAGTAGCTAGGGATGATGGAGTAGACAGTGATATATTATTTTTAGTGTGCCACTTTCTGAGAATATATTTTCCTATGGATAGGAGGAAAAAATATCATCAGTATATAGTTCCTCCAAAGCCTTTATACTTATAAATACATCAAAACTCAGGGCTAGTTCTATTTGTTCAAGTTCTAAAGAAAAGATGCAGAATCAATATATTGAGCAAGATAAGTGAGGGACTCTAAATGAATACATACATGTGCTATTGTACTCCCTTAATGTTTAAGAATGTATAATAATTTTTGTATTTACTTGTAATTGTATTTATCCTTAAGTCTTCCAAATTGATGTATATTAAGATAATATGAGTTTGGACATAATTCCCACATTCAAGGAACAGAATTTCTGAAGGTTCAGACCAAATATGAGATAAGCAGAATGTACCACCTATGTATTATGACAGGCCCATTGGGAGTTGGATTTCTGGTGTTTTCTTGTTCTGGCCAGACTGTGGCCAGAATACTTCAATTTCCTTTTATTTGAATATCAGGCTCATGCTACTTTTGATATAATACCTGAGTTCTTGACCTTGAAATCAGAAACAACCAAAACATTTTCCTGGAGTTGTTAAAGGCTCTTGGGAGTAGGGAATTTCTGGTACAGTTGGCCTCCAAACCATATTAGAGATCTCAAGCCCATCACTCTGACTTCTTCTCTTGGTTCCCTAGGAGAATTTAATGAGGCCCCAGGAACACATCAGGGAAGTTTATTCCAACGAGGCAGCCCTATGGGACCTCTCTTCTTTTCTCTATGAAAATCAAGCTTCAACTTGCCCATATGACATTCTCCACATTAGAGACCCCCAGGGAAGCCTTGGATGCTGGATTCCTTAAGAGGATCTAAAACGTTGAAGAGTTTGGGAGACTATTGCATCCTCATCTTAATATTTTGGGAAATTATCAAAATCTCCCTAGGACAGCTAGACTCAGTCAGGTCCCATGGCCTGTAGATTTCCTTGGTTTAGTTGTATTCAAACAAGGTTGTAATTTTCTTGCAGCCAATGTATATTATGTATATATTTCTTGAAGCCAGTGTATGATAAAATTGTTCATGGAGAGAAGGTATCTAGGGTATGCTGCTAAGCACTATGTTAGAGTCCTGGGCCCACCATGATGAATAAGAGATGCTCTTTGCCCTCAAGGAGCTTTCCAAGGTAACATTTATTGGTGGGAGTTGAGTTCCATCTTTCCTGTTGAGTGCTTGCTTTGTTTACTGAATTTCCCTCTAGCTTGTTTTTTGCAAGTAAATGGCCCCTGGCACTTGTGCTTTGACACTGAGTAGGATGAGCTCTAGCTTTATTTAAATTTCTTTTTTCAAAGTACAATTCAGTCAATCACTGTATTATTTAATTTTAATTTATTAGAGTTGTTTAGATCTACTTTGAAAAATGATGTAAGCTATCTCAATTTCTATTTTGTGACAGGATTTATTGAGATTGTATTTTACTGCATTGCTATAAAGTCATACACAGATTCTGAAATGTGCATGTTTTTGAAGGTATATGGCTCCCGAAATGCTGGATGATACGATGAATGTGAATATATTCGAGTCCTTCAAACGAGCTGACATCTATTCTGTTGGTCTGGTTTATTGGGAAATAGCCCGAAGGTGTTCAGTTGGAGGTAAGATGTCGGGGATATTTTTTGTATCTGTCTTTCCTTGAAGCTTTAAGTATAAGATATGATTTTGTATGTTTTGTTTTCTAAGCACCATATTGAATCATTTTTTTAATATTTAAGAGACTACCTTTTGGGGATATGTTTCCAGTGGCAAAAGCAGAGCATCCTACGTATAACGCTGATTTTATATTGTGAGTACTGCTTAGGTAGGAGTGACATTTCTCCTGATAATTATGATTTTCTTAATGATAATTTGCAACGCACTTGAAAATTTTCTTGAGTTTTATGCAGTTAGCTGTATCCCTACTTAATACCAGATATTAAACCCAAAGATGTTAAATGATGTACCAAAAGCCATAGGAGTTGAAGTCTTCTAGTTTTCAGGCTTTTCCTATTTTGCTTTGTTTTGTTTTTCCCCCTGTGATAATGAATGTGGAGGAGAGAAAGCGATGGTGGGCAGAGGTGAGCATAGACTAACTTCCTGACTCAGTGCTCCTAGCAGTTCAGAGATTAATAATGAGAGGAAGAGTTTGAAAGGATGAAACCCTACAAATGCAGTGTGAGGGAGTTGTGGCCTCCGTGGAGAAAAATTGACTACTGGCAGAAAATGGTTAGAGTTTTCACTTTCAAAGGATATAGACTTATTTTTTTAACGTTTTTTATTTATTTCTGAGAGAGAGAGAGAGAGTGAGCAGGGGAGGGTCAGAGAGAAAGGGAGGTACAGAATCTGAAGCAGGCTCCAGGCTCTGAGCTAGCTGACAGCACAGAGCTCGACGCGGGGCTCCAATCCACAAACCGTGTGATCATGACCTGAGACGCTTAACTGACTGAGCCACCCAGGAGCAAATTCCTGAATATCTGACTTAAGGCCAGTTACTTGGTCACAATTCCTCAACTTTAAAATAAATCATAAAACTGGCCCCTTGGGCTTTGAAGATTTAAGGAATTGATTTAGTTGACTAATTAATTGGAATAGAGCATGCTTATAGTAAACATTCAATAGTAGAGTTGTCATTATCAAACCACTTCCAGTTTTTTATTTTGTTGATATCATTTTGCTAATGATTATGCTAATCTCATTTTTTTAATGAGTAAAAAAAATTTTTAAGCTTATAAGTTTAAAAATATATTTGAATGAGAAAGCATAATTTTCACCCTTTTATACACAGATGAAGTAGTACACTGTTCAGGAAGATGAAGCTATTTATAGAAACAATAGAATTACAGTAGAATTTTGGAGCTTGAGATTGAGTTCCAGATCTGCCACTTACTAGCTCTATGACCTTGAGCAAATTTATGACTATGCCTCAGTTTCTTCTTTCTATAGAGTAGGGATAATATGGTACCTCTTTTAGGCAGAGAATTTGAGAAATAATTAGTTAAAATTATTAGGACAGTGTATGGTAAAAAACATGACTCAAACATATTTGTAACAATATTTTAAAATTTCATATTAATAATTGACAGATGTGCTTTTAGGTCATTGTCCTTAAATTTTCTCCAACTGTTGAAATAGTAATTTAGTTAACATAATATTAGAGCAGATCTTAAATATTTTAAATTAAAAGGACTATAGTTAATTAAAATAATCTTATAAGGAAATTCTCAGAGAGTTCAAATAATATTCTGATAATTCAGGTCTTTGTACTTGAGACTCTTTAAATATGAACCTTCATGTTGAATTGTCCATCTTCAGTAGCTTTGCTGCTGCTTTGGTCCATTCTCAGATAGAGTACTTCTATAATCCAAATGTAAGAAACACAGTTTTTAAAAAATTGTCTATCAGTTTTCAAGAAGAGTAAGCTATTCTGTTTTGAAAAGGTTGTTCCATGAAGAAACATACTTCATTCTAGAAACAATGGGTCCATACTTTAAATTTTGGAATTAGGCGTTTTGAATTGCACAGTGGTATTTTATGTAAATCAGAATTTACATAACTTTTATTACATAAAATATAATTTTATATATTTACGTTTATATAATTATTAAAATTATGTAAGTGTAACGTTTTTATATAAAATCGTATGTAATTGTCAAAATTATGTACTTTATAAAATATATATATTTGTTGTATATAAGATATATGTGATTATCAAAATTATATAGATTTTCATAATATAAATTTTATAAATGTGTATAATAATTACTCAGCTGAGTGCTTAATACCTATATCTTTGGTTTTGTAGTGACACAAAATTTTAGTACACCTGACTTTCCAGATTCCCAGGGTACCACTTGTACCTCGAAGACCTAATTAGTAGTCTTTGGAAATAAGCATCTTTGTCTATTATTCACACAAGGAAATTTATCATGCCAATTTCTTATAGGAATTGTTGAGGAGTACCAGTTGCCTTATTATGACATGGTGCCTTCAGATCCCTCAATAGAGGAAATGAGGAAGGTTGTTTGTGACCAGAAGTTTCGACCAAATATCCCCAACCAGTGGCAAAGCTGTGAAGTAAGGCTGTGTTCTTATATATGTTTTATCTATTACAATTTTGAGGTAAGTTACCAGGGAAGATTTTCAGAGATGATGAATTTCTTCTCTCTTAATCTAGGCATCCAGTTCATTCCACATATGTAAATATATGTCCTTGTATCGGTCTTCAGAAGGATTTTAGTTGTACGTATACAGCATGCTAAGGGGCAGTAACAGACCCTGGTATCCCAGTGACTTGATACAGACTTGCTTTCTTGCTGTGGAAAGTCCCCAACAGGTCAGGCAGCTGAGCTCCCTGTGCAGATTCAGTGATGCAGGTGACTTTGATCTTGGGATACTGCTCTCTCAACACATAGTTTCCAAGTGTCTAGGTCAGGAAAATGATTTTCTTTCATCAGAAAAGCCTCCTCACGGCCAAAACTTTGTTATCTTCTCATCCCCAACAGCGCAGACAGTGGCCACCATGTAGTATACACACAATAAATGATTATTGTAGTGCTAGTTAGGCCTTACGTGAGGGTAGAGACTTTTCTAGTTCCCACACGGAGAAAGAAGGGAAAGTGAGGGAAAGGCTACAAACCATCTAATTCCAGAACTGTTTTAATGCTTTAATCTCCCTCACCCCCTATTACTGTTATATGTTCTACCATATTTATTTGTAATATGTGAGGTCTTTTTAAAGTAATGTTTTTTAGTTTGGCTTTATCATAAGGGTAATTTTATACAGTAAGTTTTTTCCTTATAGTCTCCCTCCTTCATGTTTCACTCAACTCTTTTTCTACTTAAGGAAGGATTTATGTCTTGACATTTCTATTTTGTATAGATATCTTATCTACATACTTATTTATTTTATTTATTTATTTTTATTTGTGTATTTTTGTGTGTTTATCAAGTTTTATTTATTTATTTATTTTACAAGTAGTTTATTGTCAAATTGGTTTCCATATAACACCCAGTGCTCATCCCCACAAGTGCCCTCCTCCATGCCCATCTCCCCCTTCCCCCCCACACCCATCAGTCCTCAGTTTGTTCTCAGTATTAAAGAGCCTTTCATGGTTTGCCTCTCTCCCTCTCCCCCACTATTTCCCCCCCTTCTTCTCCCCCATGGTCCTCCGTTAATTTCCTCCTAATCCTCCAATTACATATGGTATTTGTCCTTCTCTGCCTGACTTATTTCGCTTAGCATAACACCCTCAAAGTCCATCCATGTTGCTACACATGGCCAGATTTCATTTTTTCTCATTGCCATGTAGGATTCCATCGTATAGATAAACCACATCTTCTTGATCCATTTGTCCATTGATGGACATTTAGGCTCTTTCCATGTTTTGGCTATTGTTGAGAGTGCTGATTCTACATACTTATTTTAGAAGCAGAATTTGAGACATTTACAACGAAACTGAAATTAAATGAATTTTTTTCTAGTATTAATAATTTCATGTATATGAAAGAAAATATATATTTATATATGTAAATCTTAAAGTGTAATAATAAAATGAGAAGCAGTGATTTCACTACCAAGTTTAAAACATAGAACATTCAAACACTTCTTACCCCTCCGACAGATTACTATTATGATAATTTATTTTTGCCTTGCCTTTTCATAGGAGAAAAAAATATATGTTATATATATGCATAATATATATACACACACACTAAAAATGTAAAAGGTGAAAGATTTATAAGATCTGAAGAGAAATCAGAGTATACACACACTAAAAATGTATTGTTTACTTTCGTGTAATTGTGAAATATATTATTGAAACTTACTATAGATATTCTTCTTAATTTCCTTTCACTTTCCCATATATATATATATATATATATGTAGCTAAAATCTGTTCATTTTCATATCTGTGCAGTAGTTCATTATAAGGCTAGAGTAAAATTTCTTTTTCTACTCTATTGTTGATTGTCTTATGTGTGATTTTAATATTTTTAAACAACACTTTTCTATGTATGCATATGTTTGGGAAAACTTCGTAGAGTATAAAACTGTAGATTCTTTTGGAGTGTCCACATAGATGATCATATCTCTGAATAATGAAGAGTTCTGGGACCAATCCTCATGCCTTTTCTTTCGTATTGCAGTTTCTGGGACTTCCAGTATAACATTGCTTGAAAGTATTGATAGTGGATATCTTTGTTTTACTCCTTAAAGTTTTATATATTTCACCTTTGAGTATCATATTGGCTGTAGGTTTTGTTTGTCAGAGCTTTAATCAGGTTAAATAAAAGCTGACTTTGTTTTGATAAAAGCTTTCTTCCTATGTATGATGTGATGATATGGACTTTCTCCTTTGTCTCTTAATGTGATAAATTGCATTTATAGATTTTCCACTGTTAAACCAACCGTGCATTCCTAGAAAAGGTCTAACATAGTCATTTTTAATGCAATCAATTTTGTACATTGCTGATATAAGTGATTTTTGTCCATTTGTGTCCAGTATTTAGTTCTATCTTGTTTTATATTAATCCCATGCATTAGACACTCATGTGATTTTATACCATTATTGTTTGTTTAGACTTAACATGTTTATCCTTTTCTTTATTCAACACCTTTTGCCTCTCAGAGCTTCCTTCCGAGATCATTTTTCTGATTCCCTAATGTGCATTCTTAAATGTATTTTATGTAAATTGGTTTTTTAGGAAGACCTAGTGGTTGTAAGTTCTTTCAGTGTTTGGGTGTTTGACAATTTATTTTGTTCTTAATCGTAAACAAAGTGAGGTTCATAGTTATTTTCTCTAAATACTTTAAAGTTGTTATTTCACTGTCTCCTGGCTTTCATTATTGCTGTAGAGAAGTCAACTGAGTTTTTTTTTTTTTTTTTTAGTTCATTTGTCTTTCAAACTACCTTAAGAATTTCTCTGTCTCTAGTATTCTGCAGTTTCTCTATGATGTATTTGGTGTAGATGTCTCTTGATTAATCTTGCTTGGAATTTTTGGACTTGATAATTCCAAGGATTTGTGATGTTCTTCAATTCTGGAAAATTCTCCACCTTTATCTCTTCAAATAGCTCGTCCTCTCATTGTCTCTTTTTCCCATTTTTAGAGAGCTCATTGGATGCATGTTAGACCTTTCATTCCTTTGATTGTCTTCTATTCTCCCCTGTTTTCCATGTTTGTATCTTTACATAGCAACTCATATTTATCTTCCAGTTCACTAATTTGGTCTTCAAATGTGTCTAATCTACCCTTTATCTCATCTATTTAGTTTTTATTTTAATGTTTATCTTTCGTGTTAAGAAGGTTTGTTTTTTTTTTTTTTTCAGTCATGAAAAAGGTAGTGATCTTATTAGGTTTTTTTTTTTTTTTTTTACTAAAGTATAGTTGGGACACATTTTATTAGTTTTAGGTATACAAGATTGACAACTCAATACATTATGCTGTTCTCACCACAATTGTTGTAACTACCATCTGTCAGCATACGATGCTATTACACCACCATTAATTATGTTCTCTATGCTATATCTTTCATCCCTGTGATTTATTCATTTCATAACTGAAAGCCTGTACCTCCCACTACCCTTCATCTGTCTTGTCCATTCCTCCCACTCCTTTCCTACTGATAACCATCAGTTTGTTCTGTGTATATATGAGTCTGATTCTGCTTTTTGTTCATTCATTTATTCATTTGTTTTTTAGGTTCCACATATAAGTGAAATCATGTGATATTTGTCTTTCTCTGTCTGATTTATTTTACTTAGCATTATACTTTATAAGTCCATCCATGTTGCTGCAGACAGCAAGAACTCATCCTTTTTCATGGCCAAGTAATATTCCACCATATATTTTTTAATGTATAAGATATATATATTTATATAAATTGATAGAGAAGATACATATCTATTTATATATAGATATAAATCTAGATACATTTTCTTTATCCATTTACCTATTGATGATAGTTGGTTACTTCTATATGTTGGCTGTTATAAATGATGCAAGAATAAACATAGAAGTGCATATTTCTCTTTAAATTAGCATTGTTGTTTTTTTAAAGGAGTGTGGGTAAATACCCAATAGTGGAATTACTGGATCGTATGCTATTTCTATTATCAAGTTTTCAAGGAACCTACATATTGTTTTCCACAGTGGCTGCACCAGTTTGCATTCCACCAACAGTGCACAAGTGTTTCTCTTCCTCCATGTTCTCATGAACACTTGTTATTCTTATCTTTTTGATTCTAGCCATTTTGACAGGTATCAGGTGATATCTCATTGTGGTTTTGATTTGCATTTCCCTGATGAATAGTGATGCTGAACATCTTTTCATGTGTCTGTAGGCCATCTGTATATTTTCTATGGAAAAATGTCTATTCAGGTCCCTTGCCTGTTATTTAATCAGATTATTTGCTTTTTGTGTGTGTTGAATGGTATAAATAATGTATGTTGGGTATTAACTCCTTATCAGATATATCATTTGTGACTATCTTCTCTCTTTTTAGGTGGCCCTTCCATTTTGTTGATGATTTTCTTCTCTGTGAAAAAGCTTTTAATTTTGTTGTAGTCCCAATAGTTTATTTTTGCTTTTGTTTTCTTTGAAGAGTTATGACACAATGCTTTTTTGGTACTTTATCTTTTTTTAAAAAAAGATCTTTTTAACTTACATTTTGAAAGTCCTCTTTGTTTTTTAAAATTTTATTTTCTATGTATTTATTTTATATTTTATATCATTTAGTTCTAGCAGCTAATGTTTTGATATGTCTGATTTTACTGTTTGTTGTTTCACTTAATCCTTGTTTAGGTACTTAATTCACTCTTATGCTTGTGAATTTTTGTCATGAGCTTAGGCTTATTGCAACATTTTAAGCCCTGAGCTTGATTTTTTTCCTTACCAAGAGTCAAGATTTAGATAATGTTCTCTATAAAATTCCATGTAAGACTGAGTCATCCTTATATTCAGGACTTGGCAAACATCTTGACACTTTCTGTCTTTGGGTTTGGAGCTGTGTTTCCTATCTTTCACATGTGGTTTGTCAATTCTGAAAGGCTAGACTATGAGATCAGCAGATGTCACCAGAGTGGCCACTTGCTTCAGTGATTTCTTAAATCTCTCTGGAGTCATCTTTTCTCATTATTTTCCCCTCTGAGTATTTATTTATTTATCACTGTACAGTTTTTTTTGATATTTATACTTAGATTATTATTTTAGTATGGCATAATTTACATATGCTAAACTGCACAAATTGTAACATATAGCTTGATGAATTAAAAAAAAAGTGTACACATCCAGACCAATGTATAAGGAATTTGCAACTCATCCCAAAGCCCTTTTTCTCTTTCATGTCTTTCCTCAGAAGATTTTAAAGACAGCCACTTTACCATATTCCCAGAAATCAGTGGATTGCATTTTCAATGAAAAGTTAGTTGCTCTCTAAAGTTAATGTGTGTTTTGACTGGATTTTTAAAGAGGTTGGGTCCTGATCTTCTCATATTGTTTTACATTTAAGATTTTCTTCACCAGAGCAGAGCATTAGTTCCTGGGTTTGTGGTTATGCTTCTCTTGTACTGTGTGCGTGTGTGGCTAACACGTTTGATATTTTTCTCTTTTAAAGGCACTCCGAGTCATGGGGAGAATAATGCGTGAGTGTTGGTATGCCAATGGGGCAGCCCGCCTGACCGCCCTTCGTATTAAGAAGACTATTTCTCAACTTTGTGTCAAAGAAGACTGCAAAGCCTAATGATGATAATTGTGTTAAAAAGAAATCTCTCACAGCTTTTCTTTTCTCATTTTCCCTCTTTATGTGAATGTTGTTGCCTTTTTTTGTTGTTGTTCTACCTCAAAGATAATGCAGGACAGTATTTAAGAGCCCAAAGGCAGCATGAAAAATAACTCTAAAGTCAAGCATGGGCAGGAGTTGACTTCATCCCATCTCTATTTTGTCTTTAATTTTATTTTGAAAAGCGACACATCAGTTCGCCTTTTTTTAGTTAATATGATATGACAAAAATGTAAAATAAGCTATATAAAAATAATACAAGTCATGAAGGTTTTATTTTACTTGAATCAAGAGCACATGAATGAAGAAAAGGAGATGAAAAGCATTTTTTTTTTCCTGAGACAAAAACAGTTTCATTAAAAATGTGAACTAAAGCACATTATATCTCAGCAGAACTTTAGATTATATAATCTGTGGTTTTCTCTTTTTTTAATTAAGAAAGATCTTTTAAAAACTTAAATATTTCTCTGAACTTAAGTGTCTAAAACATGTAAAAGGGGAGCCACTCAGCTGAAAGATGAAAGTGAGGTCACGGGGCGCCTGGGTGGTTTAGTCGGTGAAGCGTCCGACTTTCGCTTAGGTCATGATCTCCCGGTTCGTGGGTTCGAGCCCTGCGTCGGGCTCTGTGCTGACCGCCAGCTCGGAGCCTGGAGCCTATTTCAGATTCTGTATCTCCCTCTCTCTCTGACCCTCCCCTGCTCACGCTGTCTCTCTCTCTCCTAGAAATAAATAAAAATATTAAAAAAAAAAAGAAAGAAAAAAGAAAGTGAGGCCAGAAATAGCCATTTCCTTTACCTTGCCTCTTCCCAGTGTCCTGCTCTTCATAATCTACTACCGCAACAGTCCCGCAAGAATGTGAAAGCCACTAAAATGGTTGCTTCCTCTCATTTACAAATGAGACATCAGACAGCTTGAGACACTGAGAAATCCTGAAAGTCACATAGCCAGTGGTGGCGCTGGACCTTGGTTCAAATCTTGTGATAATCTGTAGACTTAACCAACTTCCTCCTTTCCCTTAAAATCCCATGTAGTTCTTTTCTCCCTATGCAGAAACAGCATCTTTCATGGTGGTATACGTGGTGTAGTCAAACAGAAGACAGATTGGGTCATTTTGTACAATCATACTGGACCTGAATGAACTCTGAGGACAATACTCACTAACATTTTCCTCATAGGAATCCCATAGTCTACCAGTTTGTTAGATAAATATTAATGTTTTCTGAGTACTTCCAGAGATTAGTCAGGCACAGAGATCCATTGTTACAAGATGTTGTTAACATTCATTTCAGAGGACCCTACTACTTTTGTACATACACATTAGAAAGAACAGAGGGAAGAGGAAAAGCAGAATATATTTTGAGAAAAATTAAGAAAATTCTTCATAACTGTAAATAGATTATTTCCCTACTCTTTAAAAATGAGCAAGTAGATGAAGAAGAAGGTTCATGATACATTTGGCTTTATTTTACTTCCTATGGAGACAGAAATGATGAATTCTGAATAATACATGGAACATTGAGTATTTCTTTCAAATCTCTAATTCTGCTTTGGTAAAGGAGATTTAACATGGTATCTTTTATTGTCCTAAAACACCGTTTTCTAAACTCTGTACCTTAGATCACTCTTCTTTTGAGATGTACCAAGGCCAAAACTGTTCTTTGATAGATTCTTAGAAGTGATAATGCACATTAGTATATCATGTGCTTTGAGGAATCTAGCAAGTAAGAGATGTTACCTGAATTTCTTTGAATTCAATTTCCCAAATTATTTGACCCTAGAGTCCTTTTATTAACAGCAGGGCAAACCTTTTTACTGTACCACATTTTAGTGCTCTACAAAGCATAACTTGGATAACAGTTCTAAAGGATATGCCTATGTATTTTCACATAGAGCACAGTCTACTGATTATAATTCATTTCACTATGGAACTATGTTACTGACCATCTTCATTAGACTGGGATAAGATATCAAAGGTATAAATCTGTTGTCTGTGGTACTGTCATTCATGCAGTTATCCATTCGTTAAATAAGATAAGGGACCCCATATCTTCATTGCCACAATATTGAGGTCAAGAGAGAAATTAAAATATGAATAGGTTCACCCCTGGGGTTTCTAAAGCTAATTTGGAAATGGGAACAGGGATGTAGGTGTTGGGTTGGGGGAAAGAAATAAATTGGCATATAGAATACAAAGTAGAAAGGCTTGATTTCTGTAAGACAATGGGTTCCGAAAATTGGGCTTTCAATTTGCAAAACATTTAAAGAGTATCTTTATTTGGTTATTGCAGACAATCTAAGTTATATAATCAGTTTTTAAAAGTGAATATGTGAAGGGATTTTTAAAAGAGCTTACATGAAGGGGTAATCTTGCTTGTGCTTGTTACCTTGACTTCTCAGATATTGTTTATGAATATATGAGAATGAAATTATTTATTTACTGTGGTTGTACTAGAGTTATATGGTTGTTGAAATAAATAAGAATCATATCTCCTGTTTTATTCACTTATGTTGGGTGAATATACTTATTTAATTTTTAAGAGACTGTTTTAACATCCCCAATTTTTCTTTCATTTTACGGTGTCCAAATATGATTCCACATTTTTTTTAGTTCAATTTTTACTTTAGAGAAATAGTTACCTTTTGAAATGTTTTTCTTGTTTTCGTGTTGGTTAACTATAGCTTCTAACTGACTAGTCTTACATCTCAATCGCCAAATGCACTTTTGAAGAAAAGAGGTAGGTTAACAAAAACGACAAAAAAGTTAAAAGTTCTAATTTTTCTTGACTCTGAACATGATAATAAATAGAAAATGGGCACTTACAAAAATAGGATAAAGTTTAGAGCATAAAACAAGTTTATTGAATATATCTGTACTGTTAAACTTCGTATTATTTGTTTTTGATGGAGTATCATTGTGTAACATTTATTCCTTTTGAATTGTGTTATAAGCAAAAAATATTCCTCTTAGGCTCAATGGGTCATTGTCCTTTACGCCTTTTAAATGTTTTGACTTTGGGTATAATTTAAAGCTTGGGGAAATGCTATTTATGAAATGTCAGTACTGTACAAAGTGGTGATGGAGTTTCTATGCAGCATCACTTCCTCAAAATAAGGGAAACATTATTTGTTGTCAATATTACAGCATAAACTTGTTGCCTTTAAGCTACACGTTTAAGTGTGTAATTGGTACAGAGTCTGTTGTGTGCTTTCTCCTATGTCTAAAGTATTTGGCATGTCCCATCTAGAATTCTTAATTTATGTTCTGACTTGAAAGTTAAGTGAAACATGACTGTGTCGTGCACTATTTTAGGCATAGCACTTGCTTCTCATCTTTATACTTTCAATTAACTTCGCATTTTAAATTCCCATGATTGTATGAAAATAGTAACCTGGTTGCAGTGTCTGCAGACTTCAAAATCAGGTTTTATTTTAAAATGAAAATCTATGATAGATTCATTAGGTTGCAAGTTCCATAATAATTTATTATTCTTAATACTTCTACTTTAGTGGGAATTATTAAACAAAACTACTACTGTGCTGGAATTTTGCCACCATGTGACTTTCATGGGCAGAGAAAACTCAGGGCTGTCTTAGAGTTTACGTAAAAATACCAGGGAACCTACCAAGCAAATTCGCTGAAAACAGAGAGCCCACGTTTGCCATTGTACAGAGTTCAACTCAAAATTACTTAGCAGGGAATATTTTTGATTATTTATTTAAAATAAATATGGAGATGCTTTTGTTTCAATAAGTGTATTTAAAGAATAGACTTTTTTCTCCCCAATCAGGAAATTAAGAAAGCAACAGTAGCAAATGAACCAAGTTGATGGCAACTTGATGTCCTCAACAAGCATTCCTTTAAATAAATTTATAAATACAATACTTCAAGTTACTTAGAAATATTTAAGAATTAGTATCTTAAAGTAGCGTCGTTGTGGTTTTTGAAGATCTTCTAAATATCTCTTCTTTTGTAAAACAGGCTAGTCTGTGTTTGACAATGCTTTGTATTAGCTCCCTCCATAAGGTAATACTTGCATGGACGCTGTGCGCTATTTAGTGAAGACAGTAATCCTTTGCTTCTGAGGACTTCTTCTAAAGAAACAAACAAAAAATGTCAGTCGGATTGCAAAAATTTCATTAAAATGTTAATATTAAACAGAATTTCTATAATAGGCGTTTTTTCTAAGTGTCATAATGCACATTTTCAGATATTTGACATTCTTTTTTCTCTCTAGCTTTTCTCTTATGTTTCATTATTTTTCTCACCTGCTTTTAAAATATTCCCTTACTGTGTCTTCCAAAATTAACTCTAGTCCCTAATTTTAAAAAACAACCATTGTTTAATTTAATCATTCTAATGATTTAGCCTTCTGATGAAAGACCGTCCCTTGGTGGTCAGAATTATTTCAGATGTGTTACAGACAAAAACCAAAATTTGGAAAATTCAAAGCATGCAAGAGATTTTGTAATTCAATTCCCACATTTTATAGATGACAAAACCAAGGATCAGAGATGAAGTGACTGCTAGTTATTAGCAGAACTGATAGGAAAACCCAGTGGTGACACCCACCACATGGCCTTTCCACATTTAACATTTGCTAATTAAACAATCATTAGCATGCATCTAAAGCTACCTTGAATGTACACTATTCATATAATGCACCATTTAATGGTGATGACCAAATCTCACTTCCCTTTTTGTCTCTCCTAAAATAATTTGCGCATTCATGGTGAGATCAGTGAGAAAAACTATAACAGGCCAGGGAAAAGTTGGAAAATAGTCAAGATAGGTCGGTAACCACTGAAGCTGAATAAAATTTAGGAATTGTGAGAATGTAGAATTTCTTAGTGCAAGTAGCAAGCAGTGGTAAGAGACATTTCATGCTTCTTTTTAAATTTTTTTTCTCCCCTTTCTGTAGGGATTCTTTTTATGCCTGGGCATGGGAGTGAGAGCTGATTGG